ATCCGGAGGTTGGTGGGGTGGTACGTGAGGACGAGGGGGATTCTTTTTTGGTTCTTATTGCGTGGACGGGGTGTGAGGGATGAGGTGCGGGAGATGTGGGAGACACGGTTGAGGGCGTTCTCGACCACCGAGGAGGGGAAGTTACGGTCCTTGAAAAATGAGGACAACTGAGATGTTCGGGAGTGGAATGCCTCATCCTGGGAGCAGATGCGGCGGAGGCGAAGGAATTTAAATGGGCGACCACTGCAACACGCCAGAACTATGGAGGAAAGAAGAAGAGCACCTATTCAAAATCTTTGCCATGAACGCATATCCCTGCAACTTCATCCGCAGGTGCCTACAAAATAGACAACAACAGGGCAGTTTGGCCAGCGTGTCCTATGTCAAGAATGTATCAGAATTGAAAATGAGACTCCTACGACCACGAGGACTCATGGTAGCACACAAGCCCACAGCAATGCTGTGACAAACAGAAGGATTAAAGACCCCGTACCCACAACATGCAGAACTAACGTAGTTTACAAAATACCATGCAATGACTGCCACAAACATTACATCGGACAGACAGGAAGGAAACTAGCCATCAGAATACACGAACATGAGCTAGCAGCAAAATGGCACCACAAACTTTCCCTAATACCAGTACGCTCGGACAATGAAGGCCATCAGTTTAACTGGGACAACGTAACCGTAGTAGCCCATGCCAAACATAGGCACACATGGGAATTCCTAGAGGCATGGTTCTCGACCCATAATGCAATCAACAAACATATAGAATTGGACCCCATATGTAAACCTGTACAGAACAAAACCGGAAATGACACAGCTTGCCATAACTGACCAAACAGTAGTATAAATTCTAAGTGGAGTGGAACAATATCACTTCATCAGAGGCCGCACTGATGATGTTACCTAGCATGGTGATGAAATGTCTGAACGAAAACAAGCCAGCTTGGCGAGCAAGTCAACAACCTCCGATCCAGGAACTATTTCTAAAAATGATGAAAGACTTGTTTTATGAGGAGCAGTTGAGGACTCTGGGTCTATACACAGAGGAATTTAGAAGGATGAGGGGGGATCTCATTGAAACTTACAGAATACTCAGATGTCTGGATAGACTGGATGTGGATAAAATGTTTCCACTAGTAGGAGACACTAGACCCAAGGACACAGCCTCAGCATGAAGGGACAACCCTTTAGAACTGAGATGAGGAATTTCTTCAGCCACAGAGTGATTAGTGTTGGAGGTGAAGCTGTGAATACTTTGGAAGACTCAATCTGCAGTTGTAAGAATTGGTAGTGTGTCAAAATTGAAAAAGTAAATATCTTACATGTAGGGAAATTGGCCAAGGGGATGAGAAAAATCAGCTTTAGTGCTGATACAAGCTGGAAAGTGGTGGCTGGGCAGAGGGTGGCAGCAAGGACACGCTGAAAGCTCTAATCTAGGGTATAGAACAGAACATTATTGAAAATTGATCATTTGAAACAAAATGGGTAATGTTAATGAGATGAAGTGAGAGCTGAAAATATTTTGAATGTTTGAACTGACATGTATGAATCAAGCCTAGAGGAATGAGTGAAGAAAAAATAACTGAAAGAGGAGGAAGTCACAGTCAGAAAAAACAAATGCATTTAGCAGTGTAAACTGTCAAGTGACAGTTATTTTTGAAAAAAACTCAAGAAAACTTGTGAGAATAGAGCCCCAAGAGTGAATCGGCTGGGGTGATGAACAGGTGGCTGTTTCACTGTCTTCACCCAGAGACACGTGACTGAGCCTGCAGTAACACACTGAAATCTGCTCCTGATGCCACCTGGTGATTTTAGCATGTAACCACATGGGCTGCCTCTTCAGTGAAAATGTTCAGTCCTGGTGACTGTAGAGCACAGTTTTGATTTTGGGTTTACAGTCTGCGGAAACCTCTTGCTTTCCCTCGTTGAATGTATTACGGGTGTTCAATTAGCTAATACAAAATAAATATAGTTATACCTGAAGGAGAGATCATGTTATGGCTTGTTAGTCTGTGAATAATTTCACTCATTAAACTCCTCCCTTAGAGAATAGTGTTGTTCCTTCTTCTGATTCTCACACATTTGAAATAATTACCCTTTGGACAGAGAGGCATTTGCAGGTCTAAGGGGAAATATTCTGGAGAATTTCCTGCGGATCGGAAATTAGCAAATGTAACACCATTATTTAAGAAGGAAAGATGAAGAGCTACAGGCCTATAAGTCTGATATCAGTAGTACGGAACATGTTAGAATCTATTGTAAAGAATGTGATAACTGGACACTTAGAATAAAATGGTGTCATTCGGCAGAGTAAACATGGATTTATGGAAGGGAAACCATGCTTTACAAACGTGTTGGAATTTGAGGATGTTATTTGTGGCAAAGATAAAAGAAAACCAATGCATTGGGTGAATTTGAATTTCAGAAGAATGTTAGTAGATTATGATGGCAGTGGAGGAAGGTATAGATGGTCTGATTAGCAAGTTTGCAGATGACACTAAGTAGCAGATAGTGAAGGGGACTGTCGGAG